CACATCAGATTAAGGTCCTAAGCAAAGTTTTGGGTTTTTTTCCCTAGCAACCCTATCTGTTGATGAAGGTTCCTGGTGGGATTATCTGGCTGCAGGTGGCAGCATGAAGCAGCCCTCCGAACACTGTCCTTTAATTTCTGTATATGTGCTTTCAAGTCTCTTGTTGACTTATGGAGACCCCATCAATTTCATAGTGTTATTTAAGCAAGCAATATTCAGAGGTGGTTTGGCCAGATTGTTCCTCTGAAATATAGCTTACAGCACCTGGTATTCATTGGTCGTCTTCCATTCCAAGTACTAACCTTGCTTAGCTTCCAAGATCAGATGGGACCTAATGCCTTTAGTGTGAGTCTATATGCCACTTAAGGTTTCTTATAGTGCATTGAGAAGATTGACACTTATTCAAGTACCAGGCTGTTTTTTTTAAAAAAGGGTCCAGATTAAATTTTGGCAGAGTAGACTCTACTTGAGTTCTGGGTCTAGGTAACTGTTCAAAGAAGCTGAATGCAAAGAAAAGTGATGGCTACTGGAACAAGGCACCAGGGAGCAGTCCCTGTTCTTCGGTATTATTTGATGTTTTGGTTAGACTATTTTATCTTTTAGATTTTTAATTGTATATATTGGAGGAAGGTATTCTCTAGAAAACTGAAATTAAGTATATTTACTCATTAATAGAAACAGCATAACCATACATGCATTTAATTTAGTGTAGTTTTCATTTTAGAGACTATGTTTCTAAAAAAAAGTAAACACATACAAATGCCTATATTATGGATTATTTTGCTACTTTTACCTCTTTGTATGGGTGATTAAGCATTGGGAAGTGGTGTGATAAAGATTAAATGCATTAAAGACAGCATAGTAATGACACTGACTCTCAAATAATGAAATTTGGTAGTGGTGGCAAATGAAAAATGGCCCCTGAGTGAACAATTCTACAATTCGGGTGATGAGCCATCTAATTGAATTACTTTTTATGCTAAAAACCTAACATACTTACCACTTCATTTTGCAAATGGGAATCAAGCCATATATTTTTGTGACACAGAGGAATGCTTAAGCAAGAAGAGGGGATGACCAGTCAAGAGTGTCTTTATATCTATTTTTTGGTCACAGAGCTTGTTAGCTTGGTTTCATTTATACATTTAGCTTAGAATATAAATGCATCACTTAATACCAATGAGTAATGTTTTTTATTGTATGAGAAGCACCTTGTTTTGCTAATATCCTTAATGATTAAATTATGAGTGGGAGGATGATAAAATCCTCACTGTGCACTCCTGATTTCACAGATTTTGTCAAATCATATCCTTGCCCAACTTTATCCTAAATGGGGGTTTAAATAATTTTCCACATATTTTAAAAAGATTTTTTAAAAACCATTTTAGAGTTTCCCAGAGTCCAAAGCTATGACAGCATAATTTAATAAAATAAAAAGTAATTAAATGAAGCTACATTAAGTGAAAGGAGCAAACTGCCCTATATGCAATTGAACATCTGAAAAGTGAAGCATGAATTTTCTCAAGAAGATGCTTATTCCATACACGTACCTTTGCTGATCCTTTCAAGTATGATGGACTTAGACTATGTTCAAAGTTTTCTTTACATTTTTTTAATTGCACCATCTCTCCAAAATATTGAAACATTATTTTATGATACACAAGAGTTCAAATCCTGGCTGGAGACAAAGTTCTGATAGGCCAGGATCCTATGGGGGCATACTTCTGATGTCAGTAGCACTTAATAAGCTTGAAAGGTGAGGTATCCAGTATTTTCCTTTACAAGTAGTTCCTGGCAATATAACAATACATAGGGATAAGTGGTATGTAGAGGCAAGGTCACTTTGATTAGTAAAAAGTATGACACCATCTGCTACCTCTTGGAGTTTAGCTGCAATCTCCACTATAACTGCAGGGGAAAAGATCTCAATGTCAAAAGATACACCCCCTCTCCCAAAATCATATATTAATTATATTCTACTTTTACATTTTATAAGGTTTCACAATAGCCCCCCTCCCCCCCCGTCTTTGGGCATTTGTCATCATTTCCAGAAGCCCGGTCAGGAAACTACACATTCCAAGAGGAATTAACTAACCTTTCACCAACAAAATCACTGAAGAGGAAATGCACAAACAAAAAGCCTATCTGTAAACCCTTTTAACAAAAGAGGCTTCGTCTTCTGTCTCAGAAACCTACATTTGCCCCCTTTAAAAATCAGTTATAAAAACCAAGCACTCCACTTCATAATTCTTTGAGAACTTCACATACATATTTTATAATAAGGAAAAACAAATGCCCTGGAGCATAGGAACATATCTGTGCTCATACAGTCAAGAACTCACTTCTTGGGAAAACTAAAATGATATAACAATATTGTTTGTATATCCTTGAGGGGCTTTCCAGCTCCCCACTTCCTGAGAGGTGAGACCATCAGGAGAAGACAATGCCAGTCAGAAAAATTAATCACATCATGTAAAGTTCTCCCACTTTCAGAGGGGATCTGGAGATGAATCTCCGCCAACACAGAGCTCAGCTTTGTGTACTTTTGATTGAAGTGTTTACCAAGAAACCCACTGTGTTTTCTGAAGCTGACTGCAAAGGGATACCAGGAAGGCCAAAGGACAGAATATGAATGATTATATTTCTTTGCTGCCAATTTATTATTAAGATTTATCTTGCAGCCACCATTTATTGATCCTTAGGCCACCTCCTTGCTAGGATGTTCAAGAAGATACACAAACTCTTCAGGTGAAATAAAAACAAGAAAATGATGTTTATTTTGTTCTTGAACAGTAAAGATGTGTAATGGTTTTGATAATCTGTCGATTTACTTATACAGAGAATGGTTTGATAATGAGTTTTTTTGCAAACAATGTTCAACACAAAGGAATACAAACAGGTTGCTTTAAAACCCTTTGAATCCTCTTTCTCTGAGGCTTCAACACCAGCACTCTAAAACTATAGAGGCTCACTTACTCCTTCTCCCTGAAGGCTTTAATTACTTTCCTCAAAGAGGTATCTTTCTTATAACAGTTCCCAAATGTCTTGCTTCCTTCCTTCCCCTTCAAATCTCCTAAACCCACTCCCTCTTCAAACTCCAACTCCCAACTGACAAAACTCTGGTTGCATAGCTCCTTCTTTTCCTCTGGTTCTGCCCATCTCTGGTTGCTAAACAACTCCGTCCAATTTCAAAAGTCAATAAGACTGCACAAGCTTTGAAACTGTCTGATGCTCACCCCACTGCTCTCCTTAGATTTTCCAAGCCAGGCCTGTTACTACCTGTACATCAACCTTGTAAGGTAGGTTAATCCATTACACTCACCCTTTGTATAAACTGAATTTGACAATCCCATCATTGACTGCTTTGCATATTGCTTCAAACACATTCCACCTGTCTACCCCTTTCAGGGTGGACTTTGCCATTGGCTCCAGCTTCAAACCCACAAATGATTGCTGTTCATTTTTCCTGCTACTCAGGAAACCCTGAGTACCTCTGATATCAGGAGGAATCCCCAGCAAACAGGAGCCCGGACTGAAGTCAGACCAGGTCTCTGACCAATCAGGGGAGTTTCTGTGTATTTGTTGGCTATAACACTAGAGTTAGTTTGTCTATTTTGACCACTTCAAAAAACTTTTTAATCCAATCTTCTAGTGTTGATATATTTTGCATATTCAATTCTTTCTGCTGTTGTCATATAGAGAAAAATCTTTCTTGATGCTTCAGTATTTGATTCTCCAATAATCCCAATAGAAAGAAGTGTGGTTTTAATGAAATCTTGTGTTTTAGGATAGTCTCCATGTGTCTGTGAATCTTTATCCAGAATTCTTTAGCTTTGGGGCAAGTCTACCCTATATGGCCAAAGGTTCCAGTCATTTTCTGACATGTCTGATCCTTTTGAACTTAGGGCCCTCCTACACAGCCATATAACTCAGACTATCAAGGCAGAAAAACCCACAATATCTGCTTTGAACTGGGTTATCGGAGTCCACACTGCCATATATTCCAATTCAAAACAGATAATGTGTGTTTTTATTCAGCTGTGTGGAAAGCGCCGCAGACTCTGTATCAGACATCAGTTCAGGTCTGAAAATAATAAACCTCTGTTCCTGTTGCCTCAAAACCCAGTTTGTGTATTAATCTGATTCTCAAAGTAGTGGGGACTTAGCGCACGCCTTTGACGGGTAGCTGACTCTCAGCCTCACCAGCATATATAGCTGTCTTCTATACAGTAACTTCCTCAGATGGTGAATTGCACAGAACAGCTTCTCAATAAACACCTGGATCCTTTGGGGCAGAATATATATATATATACATACATATATAGAGAGAGAATTCTGGAATGTCTTATATTGCTACTGTCTGGTCCTGAATCTTGTTTTGCATCCCAGACCTCTTTTTTTGGGAGTCAACATGTTGTGGTGGTTTGATTTTTGGATTAGTAGTCTGGAAACCCAACGTTCAACTCCTTTTCAAGCATTGAAACCTACAGGGTGGCATTGAGCAAGTCTCACTCTTTTAGACAAAGAGGAAGTCAGTGGCAGGGCTCCTTTGTCTAAATCATATCAGAAAAGTCCTTTGATAGGATTGCCATAAAATGGAATCAATTGGAATGCCCATAACACCACATAACTTAATATAACAACATAATATAACATTGTTTTTTGTATGTCCTCTGATTTCAGTTGCTCTTCGGGGCTCACTTCTGGCTTGCTATCCAGTCCTGCCATATGTTTTTATTTCTCTTAATTGCTAACTCTTGGTTCACAGCTACTGACCTATTTTAGCCTGCTGCCCAGCACATCTGGAGCATAGGGATTGTGGTTAGATTACTTTTTTCCACCCAAGCTGGGCTGTAGTATTGAGTATGGTGAGCGTGAAACAAAGACAAGCTTTTTTTCTTTGTAGGAGAGTTGCTCAGATGATAAACTGTCTAGGACACAGATTATATGCAGAAAAGTCAAAGGCCAAATAGTAACCACAGAGGTCTGGTTCACCTTGAAAATGGATTATGGAGGATTTCTGAGTATTTTTCAGTAGATTTAGGTTAAGCTTTAGAAAAAGCTCTCCTGGCATAGTCATAGAAAATGCTTTGCTTATAAAAAACATTATAAAAGCAAGTGGAGAGAATCTTAGTACAGCTGCTTAGTTCATTACTGAAGAGGACTATTCCAAAATAATAGCCTGAAATATATTCAGATACTAGGTAACCAAGAACCCCTTTGCTAAGCAACCCTCTGAAAATCTGTTGCTGCTAACTTCAGTGTTACAGATTTGATTTCACCATGCTGCTGGCAGAGCTGCTAAAAGATCTTACCAGGTAATTATCTTTTTTTTTACTGTTTTAACATAGAAACACAACACTTCTTCCCTTTATCAGCATGGAAACATTAATATAGGTGGGGGACTATTACATAAAATACTTTTTTCTTGTTGTTCTCCCAGAGTTTGGAAGTTGTCATTAATTTCTTTTTTTTTTACAAAAATAAAGGCAGAACTACAGTATATTATGATGGTTATAAGAGATAACTTTATTGCTTCCGTGATATAAAGGCAATGTTTAATTACTTCTATGGGGGTGACATTATTAACTTGGGACAAAGAGGAAATGGCTCTCAGAAAAAATAGCGATTTTTTGCTATTTTGACAACATTTCCATGACATTTGGGGACATCTACACTAGGTGGAAGAGTGTGTTGGTCATGACAAGGTTCTGTTCTGCACATTTGGTGAGAAACAGGATGCCATTCAGGTTGCTGTTTCCAAACCCATCTTTTCCTATGGTCCCGGGTCACAGGTCAAAGTCTTGTTGAAGTATCACATTAAAGTCACCCAGGAGGATAATTTTGTCCTCCTCAGGTATCTCCAACAGGATGGCGTCCAAATGAGAGTAATTTTTTTCCTTGATGTCTTCATTAGTATCTAGTGTTGGTGCATAGGCACTTATGATGGTTGTCTGTTGGTTTTTGGCAAGGTTAATTCAGAGGGTTGAGAGTTGTTCATTAATGCTGATGTGTTCTTTGGACAGATGTTTCATCAGGTCATTTCTGATTGCAAAGCCAACTCCATGTATTCTTCATTCTTCTTTAGGCTGTCCCTTGAAGAAAAAAAGTGTAGCCTCCCTTTTCTTCCTTCAGCTGTCCATCTCCTGCTCTCCAGGTCTCCTGAAGTGCTGCTATGTTGATCTAAGAGCATTCCAGCTCCCATGCAATAATAGTATTCATTCAGGGCATTCACTGCCTGTGTTGTCCAACAATGTCCATATATTCCATTTTCCAAAGTTCTTTTTTTTCTTTTTTGGCCACAACGTGGTGACTCTTCTAGACACGGCAGTCCAATCAGGGATGAGAGAGGCACCTTTTAGGGCACCTTCTCCAGCCCCCACTCCATTTGGGGTGAGCAGAGTGGATCCTAAAAAGGGAACTCAGTCATGAATACAGCTTCTGGACTACTCAACTGCCTCAAACCTTGAGGTAAAATGACTGAATCTATATCCACCACCCATGTGCCAGTCTGGAACTGTTGCTTATCCAGCCTAAACAGGCTAGCAGAATGTTGTATAAGTGAAAATGTTGGATAATAAGGAAAAAGATGAGACACTGCATTTTGAGAGGTTTCACTTTATCTTCTCTTTCTGTCACTACCACACCTTTGAGAGGCCAGACTAAATCATTGGCCAGATTAGGCTCCTTTCAGAGGTCTAAGGATTTCTGATCTTTCTTAAGATCTTTCTGCTCTGTAATGGAAGCAGAGGGTTGGTTTACGGTCCCTCAGACTGTTGGGTTGCTGGACTATAGTTTGAAAAAAATACAAATGAATTTCTATGCACACTGCACATATCTTATTTGTAGAACAAAAAAACCACAAAAAATAGATAGTCAGGTTAATTAGGATTGCTGTTGTGGGCCTTCAAGTTGTTTCAGGTTTAAGGCAACCCTAAGACTAAAGCTGGGGGTGGGGTTTGGGTAAATGACCTTGGAGCATCTGGCTCATTGGTCTTAGTTTGGGGACCCCTGCTGTAGTGTTTTCAGCATTGGACTAAGACGCTGGAGACTGGTGTCTGAATCCCTGTTCAGCTACCACTGGATGACCTTGGGTAAGCAACTGTCCCCAAACAAATCTTGCCAAGAAAATTGTGTGATAGGCTTGCCATATGTTGGAAATGGCTTGAAGGCAGATAACAACAACTGCTTTTGTTGTTTACTCCATTTATTATGCTAAAAATTCTGCCCAACACAAATATACACATTTTTTCTTTTGCCATCACCACTGAAAATATCATTAGCAGAGTTCTTCCCAGTGCACTCACCTCACAAAGGATCTCATCCTATGAAGGGCAGGGAAAGAGCAGGGGTTAGTGGAGGGAGCCATCTTGTTTGTTCTCTACTGTTGAGTTCCTATGCCTTTTCATATTAAGGGATGGCAGCCATCCCAGGCTATTCTCCATCTTCTGGCAATTTCTTACATTGGGAGTCATGTAGCACCCAACTCTAGATCACACTTTGGTCCATTTCCTTGTACTTCTGCAATATAATTCCATAGGCAGCCACTTGCATCATGTGATAGCCTCGATGGGACTCCGTTTTAGCAATGCAGGGAAACAGAGTAAAGGTTGTGTGGAATGAAGTTCATAGACCTCTTATTTGTTCTGATCAGAGAATGTTCGAGTTATATGCAGTTGGCATTGTATGCTCACTGAGCATGCTTTCTCTGCATTTCCATGTTTTGTTGGTCCCATCCCTATAGATTTTTTCCTCTAAAGTTTTTTCTCCTTCTAAAAAGTTTAACCTCCCTCCTTCCCCCACACACAACCACCCCAGTGCTTCCTTTCTAAACATAGATTGTACTTAAAAAATAATATCATAATCATACATGTGGACATAAGGGACCATACACAGCTGGATTTGTACTTAAGATATGTAATTATAGTATGTTATTTTTCTCTGCATCAGACACCTGTCCTGTTTCATGGAATTTCTCTACATAATGTTTAAATGGTTTTAGCTCTTAAGTGCATCTCAGCAAAAATAAGTAGAAATCGAGATGCTCTGTAATGGAAATATTTCCTGTGGTGCATATATTAGATTTGCACATGAGCTGCAATTTCTATTCAGTTGCTCAAAATAAAAAATGTCAATTCAATTCAGATTACACTGCAGATATCCAAGAATTTAAAAGAGTCCTATGTGTCAGACAGATTAAACTATACCTATGTTGATGTTCCTGAAATGGATTTGTAATTCTCTGTACATTTGAGTATCCTTATGCATCTTAGACAATGGTTCTTATCGCTCATATGTAAAATGATTAGACCTATAGAAGCAAGACCAATTCAGAGTTAGCATTCTGTTTGTAAGGTATTCTCTCAGTAGGAAAGAAATCATTTTCTCAGTGGAAAATGTTCATTGTTTACTAATAAGTTGTTTTCTCTGTGGGAATAGAATGTTGCAAGTATTAAGTATATTTCAAGATATCTTCACAATGAAGACACGACTCTGAAACTTCGTAATCTCCTGTGAATCATTTAACAGCAGATTCATGACAGGTTGCGAGCTTTGTTTTGAAAATCTAGATGAGGTGCCAGGTTGAAAACTGGAAACTGCTCTTCTGCCTTTAATGGTTTTGTAGAGGAGACAATTTCATTGACTGTTGCTTGTCATACAACCGGGTAACAAGCAACACAGGCTGAAATTCCCACTTCTAGACAACCGTTAATGATACAGAATCCATTCCAGTTTTCACTTCGGCAATCCTAAAGAAATGAACACATCTTTCTGAATCCTTGCTATGATGAAGATGCAAGCCCCTCTTACAAAAATCTTATCAGTAATACGACAGCTTGGAAAACTGTTAGAAATTGCTCAGCAATATTTTCTGAGCCTTGGCTATTGACAGTGCGGAATGGAGATTTCTAGGATTCATAGTAAAATGATGTAATCAAAAAGCTAATGTTTCAAAGTTCAGAGGAATAGATTGCAAAGTGATATATAATGGATAGAAGCTGTGTGTAGACTTACTGCTTGCATTAGGATGTCAAGAATGGTGAGAAAAACCTTATCTAAAATGGAAAGAAGGCAAACCAGCTCTTAGTGATGGATGGCATTCATTTTCAGCAATGAGGTTATTAGACTTTTCCTCTGCTGAACATCTAAGGCTTAATGAATACAAGAGAATATTGTCCCTGTGACTTGCTACTGTGCATAAATGTTTATTTTTTCTATTCTTGCCCAACAATTCTCATTCTATTTGCAAGAAAATAAATAGCTTTAAAAAAAACAGAGAGGTAAATGCCAATGAAACAATCTGGGATCAGTGATATCCCTAGGATTTGGTGTTACCCCACAGATCTCCTCCTATAAAAGACTACCCCACAGTATTGTAGCTAAAATACCAGAAAATTTGACAAAATCAGCAACTGTAAAAAAAAATCCAGCAGTCATTAAAATAACCGTATGTACTTGTTGCACATGCAGATGAAACCAAATGATCCAAAAGATCATTGCAAGTGGGTAATACTGACACATGTGGCCACAATGCATTCATATTACAAGGCTCAAAAAGTAAATTATTATAGAATTTTAGCCTTGTAGATATATTGCTGCAGGACATGTAAGCTGGGTTTACAAAAATGTTTCTGTAGCTATCTCTAACAACAGTTATAAAATAAGAAATTTCTGCTGAAACATTGCAAAAATTTAGTAGCCAGGCATTTGAGTGTCATCTCCTCAGCTGGTGTAATACACCCCACACACAACCAGTGACACCACTATGTTGGATTGCTGCACTCAGTTTAAATAAATACATATCACTATGGAATGTGTGTGAATGGTCTTTCTTTGAGCAAATGTATCTATGGCAGCCAGCACATTCCCTAGCTTCCTGCACTTCAGTGAAAGTTCAAAGTGAGACATCTTTCCGTTAACCTTTTCAGTATTGGGAAACAAGGGCCTGAAGTTCAATTGATGAAGGGAAAGGTGTGTAGCAGACAGGTGTTCACTATATATGATGAATGTGAAAGATGGTTATGTTTCTATTTGAAAATCTCTGTCTCTATATGGACCTGCCAGTGCTTTACAATTGGCATTGTCATGACCTGGGATACTGGTTAGTTACCAGCATGATCACAATCTTCTTTAAACTGCTGCAGGCATTGCATGGCTATAATGCCTTGGCAGTGTGTGATCACACTTTTGGATGGGGATTAAAACTCCAGGCTCCTGCTCTACCCTTTTATTTTTGAAAGATTCTTCTTACATGGGTTGTTGTAAGATTTTTGGGCTGTATGGCCATGTTCCAGAAGCATTTTCTCATGACATTTCACCTGCATCTATGGCAGACATCCTCAGAGGTTGTGAGGTCTGTGGGAAACTAGGAAACGGGGTTTATATATCTGTAGAATGTCCAGGGTGAGAGAAAGAACTCTTGTCTGTTGGAAGTAGGTGTGAATGTTTCAATTGGCCACCTTGATTAGCATTTAATGACCTGGCAGCTTCAAGGTGTGTCTTCTTACTGCCTGGGGGAATCCTTTGTTGGGAGGTGATTACTGATTAGCTATCCCTGATTGTTTCTTGTCTGGAATTCCATTTTTTTAAAATGTCATTCTTTATTTACTGTTATGATTTTAGAGTTTTTTTTATACTGGCTGCCAGATTTTGTTCATTTTCATGGTTCCTTCCTTACTGTTGAAATTGTCCACATGCTTGTGGATTTCAATGGCTTCTCTGTGTAGTTGTTAGGGTGTTGTTAGGGTGGTCCAGCATTTCTGTGTTCACAAATAATATGCTGTGTCCAGGGTTTAATAAATGTCTTAACATTTCCTTTTTTCAGTAACAGGAGAGGACAATCCCATCTACTGATATCATCAACATGTTGCCACAAAAGCACCTGGACCTCTCTGAACCAGGTAAATCTATGCAAAAGGGGATGAAAACAGACACCCTTACTTAGGCGATCCCTCGTTTTCCGAGGATGATTGTCTTCCAACATTCTTGTGGGTCTGTATGTGGCTGTGGAGCCCTATTCTTGCTCTGCATCTTCTTCCGCAGTGAGGGCATTGGTTTCCAGGTGGAAGGCGGTCCCGGTCGGGGTTGGCTTGACGCGCCTTCCTCTTGGCACGTTTCCCTCTTTCACCCTCCACTCGTGCCTCCTCAAATTCTGCAGCACTGCTGGTCACAGCTGACCTCCAGCTGGT